TGACTATGATGGTTAAGAGGAATTGATTGATTGTGATTGCACCATACCATATCATCTTTATTCACCCCTGTTTGCATTCCATTTCATATTCATATCACTTCACCCACACACAAATCCTATCATCAATTTGGCGCCGTTGCCGATTTGGGAATATTTTTGTTGCATTTGAGTTTCAAACACACTTGGACGATCAAGCTATACCACCCCTGTTCTATTGTACTGCTGGGTTTTTGTCTCTTTTCGCAGGTGTATGCGAACTCGATCAAGTCGGTCAACTGAAGACTTGGTCGAGCTAGACTTCACAACGGGTAGAAAGAGGGTTCAGAGGATTCAGAGGGTACAAGAGGAACCTGAGGTGCTAGTTACTGATACTATGGACATACCAGAGGGGAATGGAAACCCTTTGGGTAATGGACTCGGTCTGTGATACCCCGTATCAAGACCTAAAACATCCCAAAGGCCGGGATGGGAAGATCAACACTCTGGGATTGGAAGACAAAGACGTGGGATCTAATCCAGAGATCACAACGAAGACTTGGATCAAGACAGGATCAAGAACGATCGAGCAGAACTGAAGATACAACAAGATTGTCCAGGTGGGACGATCATTGTGCGAACATGGGAAGAGCCGACAGGACGACGAAATATCAAAGTTCTCCAAATCAAGAAGAGAAGAGTTTGGACGACATAAGAGACCATTCTAAGAAGTTTGGTCGAAGCAGAATGCAAATCGGACGAGCAGATTGAGAGATGGGACGGACGCCCAAGATCTATCCCGCAACAACTGCAAGAAACGTAAATGTTCGGATGGAGGTATTCCGCACATTTCCAAGCAACTATGTGGAAGCTTAGAAACATGGAAATGAGAGAAGGATTAAAATAGGAGATTTTAATTCTCAAGCACGACGGGGACGAAACCCTCCAGACAGGGAAACGTACGAAACCCTCTGGACGAGGAAACGTACATTTGGAGCAATCTTGTTCTAAGCCAACCAAGTGGTGACACCAGCTACTTGGGAAGATAAGGATGATCTAGACCAGTATGGAGAAGACATCAGCTACTCAGATGGAGCCAAAACCATTCAGCCAATCATGTAGCAACATCCAGCTACCGAATGAAGACGAAGCAAGCCTAAGCCAATTGGGCAACGACACCAGCTGCTAAAGAGGAGAGAGGGCGTGGATAAGCTCCAAGAAGATCTAATGCTATCAGGGAGAGACACCCAGCTGCTCATGAGAGACAAGAATCGTCCAAACCAATCAGACGAGACATTGAGTGCTCAATGGAGACGAAATGACTTGGACGAATCAGGATGCAACACCAACCTACTGAGAGAGAGTATAAGCTTCAGGAGTGGATGAGAAGCAAGTGGAGAGATGCAGAAACGGATTGGATCAAGAGCTGACCAATCAGACAGAAGCACCCAGCATCTTAATGGATAAGATGAGTTATATCCAATCGGCACGACTACACCACATGCTTGGGGGAAGTCGGCCTATTGGATGAGCATTGAGAGGGGATAGGAATGACGTGTGTCATGTCCTGAGACGCCCTAGAGGCCACCAATCAAAGCTACCTAGCCTAGACCGCCTGGATGTCGCGTTCTGAGGCAGTGTAGGTCGCCACCAAGCAAAGCTATGCTAGACCTAGGTCTCCATGTGTCTGCGCATGACTGGAGACGTCCCAAGAAGCCAGGCAGCCTCCTGAACTCCTATAAATACGCTCCTCCAGCCCCAAGTCCAAACCATTCCATTCCCAAAGCTAGAGAGCACCTGAAAAGTGATTAGAGAGTAATTAAGAAAGTTTTCTTAATTAAGTGAGGTTAGTGGAAGATTAGAGTAGGTCAAGATCAAAGCTTAAGGAAAGCTAGGAGGGTCTTGAAGTCTTCTTAAAGTGGTGAGTCTTGGTGTTATAGTTTTAGCCTTTTGGATCTATGTTTGTGTATGCAGGTTGTATGAACACCAAAGCATGGGAGATGCTTTCTGTTCATATTGGTTATTGGTTCTGTAGTATAACTCTCTAAACAATAAGGTTTAGTAAAAATTGTGGAGAGTTATGCTGCAGAAATTTATATAATGTGTTATGAGGTTGTGATGGGTAATCTTCTAGGAGAGAAGTTATGCCGTCAAATCTCTTGTGTGTTTATATGCAGGTTTGCATTGTTGTGAGGTTGTGATGGGTAATCTTCTAGGGAGAGAAGTTATGCCTGTCAGATCTCTTGTGTTGTGAGGTTGTGTCGGGTAACCTTCGGGGAAGGTTAGGCCGCCAGATCTCTTTTGTGTGTGAGGTTGTGTTGGGTAACCTTCGGGGAAGGATATGCCAACAGATCTCTTTTCTGTGTAAGATTGTGATGGGTAACCTTCGGGGAAGGTTATGCCGTCAGATCTTGTTAGTGTAGATGCATATCTATACATTAGGTGATGTGAGATTGTGGATGGCTATGCCGCCAAATCTCATAGATGCATCGGTTGTGGGGTTATAGCATGGCTATGCCGCTAAACCTCGAGTGCATACTAACATGGTGGTGCGTAAGGCCCATATGTTGAGTATGACTCCGATGTGGAAAGATCACGGACGGCTGAGCCGCCAGATCTTTCGAGGTTCGTGTGGGTACTCTTCCGAGGCAAGGGAAGCTCTGCCGCAGAACCGGTGGTATGAGGCATAGTGGTGCGTAAAGGCCCATATGCTAAGTACTGAGAACATGTGGCGTGTCTAACCACATGTTGTCTAGGAAGGTGTAGTCAAGCGCATTCTCGCACGTCAGAGCCCAACCGGATTGGCAGCGTGGAGGCTGTGCATGAAGGGAGGAAGACTCGGAGGATAACCTGGTCAGCTGCCTTGGCCGAGTATGGTACCATATGACGATATGGGATCCAACCAGACATTGGCATGGTGCGCCAGTAAGGCCAATAGATGGAAGGATGAACCGGGTACCGCGATGGACTGTAGTGCCCGGGTGAAGGCGTTCATCTAGTTTCTGTGTGATTCCGGATGAGCGTGAACCTTCACAGGCGTGGGCAGAGAATGTGGCTAATGCACCTAGGCGCCTTATTGCATATAGAAAACAAGTATTAGATACTTGTCTAGGTTTGCATGGGCATTGCATATAGATTGTTTTATTGTTGTTATAGTCTTGGGTTGATCGTACCTGTTCTTGTTTGATTGGGGTACGGTTAGTCTTAAGACTATACATCAATAATGCATGTGATTGCATATGTTGTGTTGTGCTAACCTCATTGCAGGTGGAGGCGGGGTTATCCCGCGGCGTTTGTGTTTGGAGTTTAGGGAATCCCCCTTGTATAGAGGTCCTAGACTCACTGAGTAATATTAGATTACTCATTCCTTTTGTTTAATGTTTTCAGGTGACCGTAGAGGTGTGAAGTAGAGCGGACCGCTGCAGGCAGTAGGCGCCAGAATAGTTTTGTGGTATGTTTTTGTAAAATATGGTTTGTTGTTTGGTTTGGAACTAAGGATCGATCCGCATGTTTTTAAGTCGGATTTTGTAAGCACTCTGATATTTTAATAAAGGAAAGTTTTATGTAAAGACCTTATGTTCCAATGATATTAGCTTGGTCCGGGCTAACACAACTCCTGACCGAAGTACGGGTTGGCAAGCCTTAGGCTTTGGTCAAGAGGGTCGAGTTCGTGGAACGGGCTGACCTGGGCTCTGATTTGTTCTTAGTCTGGGATGGCCTATTCGGCGAACATCGACATTTTGTGGCGCTTCTCGGAACGTCTGTGCCTAGGACGGTTCGGGGGTGTTACACGGTCGAGCTAGGCAAACTCGACCGATTGGTCAAGGAGATGCTCCAAACCGCCACCAACAGAGACAAGGGATTGTTCCACCACCAGTGCAGAACCACAACTTTGAGATCAAGCTGGGAATGATCAACCTTGTTCAGAACAAGATGTTCCATGGATTGCCAAGTGAAGACCCCATTGACCACCTTGATGAGTTTGATAGGCTTTGTGATTTGACAAAGATCAATGGTGTCTCTGAAGATGCCATCAAGCTGAGACTCTTTCCTATGTCTCTAGCTGACAAAGCTCACCAATGGGAGAAGAGCTTGCCCCATGGCACAATCACCACTTGGGATGAATGCAAGAAGGCCTTTCTTGCTAATTTTTCTCCACCGGTCGCACAGCCAAGCTTAGAGGAGAGATATCCAGCTTCATCCAGCGAAACAATGAGACATTCGCAGAGGCTTGGGAGAGGTTCAAAGGCTACACAAGTCAGTGCCCACACCATGGATTCAACAATGAATCCTACTCTCCACTCTTTATAGAGGATGCTTGCCTAGGTATAGGGAGATGCTAGACACAGCTAGCAATGGGAACTTCCTCAACCAGGATGTAGATGATGGCTGGCAACTTGTGGAGAACATGGCCATATCAACAGAATGCTATGGAGAGCACTATGAAAGTACAGACTGGAGCTCGACCGCGCACTCGATCGAGCTGGACGCTCAGATGAGAAAAGACATGCTTGCACTCAACTCGAAGTTGGACAAACTGATCCTAGCCCAATTCCCTGCCAAGCATGTCAACTATGTCTCAGAACAAACCTTAGTCAAGGACCAGGAAGGGGAGGAGACAACACAAGAGGTTTGCTACATTCAAAATAGACAAGGAAGCTATAGGAATCCTCAACAAGGGCGATACAACAATTATCAAGCCCCCTGGCCGCACCAACAACAAAGTGTTCCACAAGGTTTCAACCAAGGACTACTCATACCCAACCAACTCAAGATTGGGATATGAAGGAAATGCTCCAACAACTTTTACAAGGGCAAGCCAAAGGTTCTCTGGAAATGAACAACAAGCTGGTTGAGATACACTCTAAACTAGAGTCATTGACTTCAAGAGTCCAAATCATTGAGTCTTCAAGTGCATCATCCTCTTCACCACAAGAGTATGCCCAAGCAGTTACACTAAGAAGTGGGAGCAATTCCCAGTAGAGGTAGCCCACCCCAAATCGCTGTGGACATCGATGACGAGGAAGGGGAGGATTTAGTCGATATGCTGATAACTCGACCCGAACTCGATCGAGCTGGAACAAAACCCTGAACCAGAACTCGATCGAGCTGGAGAAACTGAGACACTGCAAGACAAACCAGAGCTCGATCGAGCCAGAAGAGCAGACAAAGCAAACTCCAGCCAACCAGCTAAACCTGTTGCAAAGAAGAAAGACACTCCAGCAGGACCACCACCATACAAGCCCCCTCTGCCCTTTCCAGGAAGGTTCAAGAAACAACTGTTGGAAGCACACAAGGCCAAGTTTGATGAACTAATGAGACAGCTTGAGCTGAAGTTGCCCTTCATCGACGCCTTGATGCTCATTCCACCTTATCAGAAATTTCTGAAGGATGCTGTTCAGCAAAGAACCAGGGAAGCACAAGGGATGGTAGTGTTGACTCGCGAGTGCAGTGCAATCATTCAGCGGAAGGTCATCTCCGACAAAAAGGAAGATCCGGGGAGTTTCACTTTGCCCTGCATGTTGGGACCCCTATCTTTCAAAAACAGTCTCTGCGATCTAGGATCATCTGTCAGCCTCATGCCTTTGTCTGTAGCAAAGAGACTGGGATATCACAAGTACCAAGCCTGCGGAATCTCACTAGTCTTGGCAGATAGATCGATAAGGTTACCAACTGGGATGCTTGAAGACCTGCCTTTGAGGATAGGGAATGTAGAAATCCCCACCGACTTCATTGTGCTTGAGATGGATGAGGAACCAACAGATCCATTGATTCTAGGAAGGCCATTCCTAGCTACAGCAAGAGCAATGATAGATGTCTGTGAAGGAACAATTGAGCTAAACTTGGGAAAGGACCTAAGATGAAGTTTGATATCAAGGATACAATGAGGAAACCAACTATAGAAGGTCAGCTCTTTTATGTTGAGGAAATGGATCAGTTGGCAGATGAGCTTTTAGAAGATTCATTGGAGGATCCCTACAAGTTGCTTTGACCAAGGATTCTTCAGAGGATATGTGAGCTCAGAAACTGAGAGTACAAGAAGCTCCTTGACACCTTCAGACCAGTTCCAAACATTCTGAGCATTGAGGGTTGGACAGGCCAGTTTGCGAAGTCATGGCAGTGAGCTCGATCAAGAACTCGATCGAGTCGGTTTCGAACAAACGAACTCGATCGAGCTGGGGACTGAATGCAAGGAGCAAGCTCAAGGAGATTGGTCTGAGCTCAAGGCACCTAAAGTCGACCTCAAACCTTTGCCTGAGGGCCTCAGGTATGCATTTCTGGGTGAAAACTCAACTTACCCTGTCATTGTGAACTCTGATTTGGAACCTGAACAGTTGAGTGCTTTGCTTGTTGAATTGAGGAAGTACAGAAAGGCAATAGGTTACACTCTAGATGATATCAAGGGGATCTCCCCTGACCTATGCATCCATAGGATTCATCTAGAGGATGAAAGTAAGTCAAGCATTGAACCTCAAGAAGGTTGAACCCCAATCTAAAGGAAGTAGTGAAGAAAGAGATACTCAAGTTGCTTGATGCTGGGATAATCTATCCCATCAGTGATAGCACTTGGATATCTCCAGTTCATTGCGTCCCAAAGAAAGGGGGGATCACTGTCATTAAAAACGACAAAGAGGAGCTGATTCCCACTAGAACAATAGTGGGGCATCGCATGTGTATTGACTATAGGAAGCTAAATTCAGCATCTAGAAAGGATCATTTCCCTCTCCCTTTCATTGATCAGATGTTAGAAAGATTGGCAAACCACCCTTTTTATTGTTTTCTTGATGGCTACAGTGGTTTCTTCCAAATCCCGATCCACCCTAATGATCAGGAGAAGACCACTTTCACATGCCCTTATGGCACCTTTGCTTATCGAAGGATGCCATTTGGGCTGTGCAATGCTCCAGCTACTTTCCAGAGATGCATGACCTCCATTTTTTCAGATCTGATAGAGGAGATGGTAGAAGTCTTCATGGACGATTTCTCAGTCTATGGAGCATCCTTCTCCTCATGTTTGTCTAACTTGTGCAGGGTGTTGCAGAGGTGTGAGGAGACAATCTAGTACTCAACTGGGAGAAGTGCCACTTCATGGTTCGAGAAGGGATTGTGCTTGGACACAAGATTTCCGAGAAAGGGATCGAGCTCGATCGAGCTAAGGTGGATGTCATGTTGCAGCTCCCTGTTCCCAAGACTGTGAAGGACATAAGGAGTTTTCTGGGTCATGCAGGGTTCTACAGAAGATTCATCAAGGATTTCTCAAAGATAGCAAGACCCTTGACAAGGCTTCTGTGCAAGGAGACAGATTTTGAGTTTGATGAAGAATGCCACAAGTCTTGGACCTTGCTGAAGGATGCTCTGGTATCTGCGCCAATAGTTCAAGCTCCAAACTGGGATCACCCATTTGAGATTATGTGTGATGCATCTGACTATGCAGTAGGAGCAGTGCTTGGCCAAAAGATAGACAAGAAACTCAATGTCATCTACTATGCAAGCAAGACTATGGATGATGCTCAGTGCAAGTATGCAACCACAGAGAAGGAGCTCCTTGCCATAGTCTTTGCCTTTGAGAAATTTCGAAGCTATATAGTTGGATCCAAGGTGATTGTGCACACTGACCATGCTGCCCTTAGGCACATCTTTGCTAAGAAAGATACAAAGCCAAGACTTCTCAGATGGATCCTTTTGCTTCAAGAGTTTGACATAGAAGTTGTGGACAAAAAGGGAGTAGAATGGAGTTGCTGATCATCTCTCTAGGATGCGAGTTGAAGACATGATCCCCATCAATGATTCTATGCCTGAAGAACAGCTTATGGCAATCATGATCTTGAAAGAGTTTTGATGAGAAAGTCAGGCTGGAAGAAGTTAAGGCTCTGCGTGATGAGAATTTGCCATGGTATGCTGATATAGTGAACTTCATGGTGTCCGGAGAAGTCCCTAGTAGTTTTGATGCTTACAAGAGGAAGAAGTTCTTCAAGGATGCTAGGCATTACTATTGGGATGAGCCTTACTTGTACAAGAGAGGACCAGACAGCATTTACAGAGATGCATAGCTGAAGAAGATGTACAAGGAGTTCTAGAGCATTGCCATGGGTCAGCTTATGGAGGTCACTTTGCTACATTCAAAACAGCAACTAAGGTTTTGCAATCTGGTTTATGGTGGCCTACTTGTTTAAGGATGCAGCAGTTACATTGCCAAGTGTGATCCATGCCAAAGGAAAGGAGGATCACCAAGAGGGATGAAATGCCACTAAACCCAATTCTAGAAGTTGAGATTTTGATGTATGGGGAATAGACTTCATGGGACCTTTCAAACCTTCTTCAAACGGGCACAACTACATTTTGGTTGCTGTGGACTATGTGTCCAAATGGATTGAAGCCATTCCCTGCCCAGCCTGTGATGCCAAGGTGGTTGTTAAGCTTTCAGAACCATCATCTTTCCAAGTTCGGCATCCCAAGGGTTGTTATTTCGGATGGAGGTTCCCATTTCATCAACAAGGTGTTTGAAAAGTTGATGAGAGCATGGAGTCAAGCACAAGGTCGCCACACCCTATCACCCTCAAACCAGTGGGCAAGTTGAAGTCTCCAACAGACAGATTAAGGCCATATTGGAGAAGACTGTGAGCTTCACTAGGAAAGGACTGGGCAGCAAGGCTTGATGAGGCACTTTGGGCTTATAGAACAGCTTACAAAACCCCCATTGGAAGGTCTCCTTTCAATTTGCTATATGGGAAAGGACTGCCACTTACCTGTGGAGGTCGAATACAAGGCTTTATGGGCAGTAAAGATGCTGAACTTTGATATAAAGGCAGCACAAGAAAGGAGGGTAATGAACTTGTTTGAGTTGGAGGAAATAAGAATGAATGCCTATGAGAACTCCAGATTTACAAGATGAGAACCAAGGCAGCCCACGACAAACTGATTCGCCTTAAGGACTTCAAGGTTGGGGACAGTGTGCTCTTGTTAACTCCAAGCTAAGGTTGTTTCCCGGGAAGCTAAGGTCAAAGTGGGCGGGACCATTCAAGATTCACGAAGTTCTACCCTACGGATCCCTCACTCTGCTCAATCAAGAGGGGAAGGAATTCACAGTAAATGGGCACAGATGCAAGCCCTATCTAGGAATGACCCCCACAGAGGAGATCATCACTCCTCTAGAAGATCCAACCCCGGCCTAAAAGGTAAGGTCAAGCTATGAGACCTAAAACAAGCTCACTTGGGAGGAATTCCCATGTCTATCTTGTACATATTGTTTTACTTTTTTATCTCTGCGTTTTTCTTGGCTAAGTCTTGCAGGACAGGTTTTAGGAAGGAAGGGCCAACTCGAGGCACAACTCGATCGAGCCAGAGCAAGCTCGATCGAGTGACAAACCCGATGGAGCTCCTGATGGCCGTCTCCCATCTCCAGACCACGACCTAGCCTCCCAGTTCTTTGGGGGACACTGAGGTATCCAAACACCAACCCTTGTATATACCATTTCATATTTTCTTGTTTGTTCTTGTTTTTTCTTGGTTTTGCCCTCTTGAATCTTTCACTAAATTTTTCTCACACAAGGGACTGTGTGATTTAAGTTTGGGGGAGGGTTCAAGAGATGATTTAACCTTGTTTTCTTTGTTCTTAGTTTTTCATTTATCTTTTGCATAGAAAAACCAAAAAAATCATAAAATTTTCAAAAAATCCAAAAATATTTTCATCTTTTTGCATTCATATTTGTTAGACTTGTTTAGGATTGCATTTTTCACTTGCATTGTTGATTTGACTTTGAAAACTTGTCCATCTTTTGCGATTTCTTGAGTGCCCTGTTTTTAGATTCTTTTGTGCATTAGGGTGAGATTGATTGAGCAGCAAGAACCATGTTTATCTTGATCATATCACTGCATGCACATCTCATTCAACCATTGCTGTGATTTGATGCATTTCCCTATCTATTTGAACCATAACTTGATCTTTAATTACCAATGCTTGCATTTGATTTCAACTCATGGCTACCACATACATATCTGGACATTCTTTATCACTTTCATATCCCTTTGCTTGTCCAGATAGCTGATCTCTATCTTTGAGACAGTTACCACACCTTAAACCTAAGCCTTTTCATTTCAAACCCCATTATTATCTCTTGTGCGATTGTGAGAACCTTTCTTGGCTTTGCTTAGCATAAGGTGTTGTGTTTAAACCGGCAGGGGCAGTAGTTCTAGTTGTCTAGTTCTCTTGGGATTGTTTTCAGGCTAAGTTTGGGGGTGCCAACTCGAGCTCGATCGAGTTGGGTGTCAAAAACCAGAAAAGTGGTAAAAGTTGGGAAAAACCAAAGGAAAAAGAGTTTAGTTAAGTCCAGGGAGTTGGCAGTGTTTAAAAAGGGTCTAGTAAAGGTTTGGGAAGTTAAAAAAGAAAGTAAAAAGGGTTCTAAGTAGAATGAAAAGAAGGCAAAGCCTCAAGTGTCCAAAAAGGAAAGAAAAGTTCCCTAAGTGTTTAGAAAATCCCAAACCGCTAGATGTTACCTCAAGAAGCCTCTCCCTAGGAAGTTCTTAAAAGAAAAGTGAGCAAAGCTCCTCAGTTTCAAAGGCGAAATGCCAAAAAGGGTAGTTAGGATTTTGTTCTAAAAAGCTCTAAGTGTTGAACTCGATCGAGTTAGGATTAGGCGGCTCGAGCTGCTGTTCTTGCATCATCTTTGGTTCTAACACTTAGCCTTCTGCCAAAGCAAAGCCACTTTCTTGAGAGATCCCTGTTACTAAACCACCATACAAAAGAGACCCTCTTTGTCTCTTAACCCATAAACCCTTGAAACCAAATGAGTTGATTGATCTTGCATGTTTTTGGTTCACTGTTTTTGCTTAATGAATGTTAAAGGGATTTGCTGATTTGAATGCATTGTTTGAGTGACTGTGAAGTGGGATTGATGTTGATAAGCATGGTTAAATCTTAATGAATATCTCTCACCTTGTTGCATTCTAGAATCTCTAAGTTGGACATTTAGCAAATCGCTTTTGAGGACATGTTTTTAAGTGTTGAATCAGCTTGTTTTCAAACCTCATCTCTTCTTGTTCTATTTGTTTGCTTGAGGGCAAGCAAAGTTCAAGTTTGGGGGTGTTGATGTACTTGCATTTTACATAGTTTTAGCACATCTTTTATGCATCTTTTGCATAGTTTTAGCATCCATTTGCATCATATCTTGTTCCTTTTCTCTTCTTATGCATTCATGTTAGTTTTAGGTTGCATTTGCATACATATGCATGTTTGGTCCTTTGAAATAGGTCTTTTGGAGCATTCTGGAGCATATGGGACATAAGGAGCATGGAGGGACTTGGCACATGGAAGCAGCTCAACTGGATACGCAAAGGAAGAAGGGAGAAGCCATCTTGAAGACCAGCTCGACCGTCTACTCGACCAACCGGTCGAGTTCCTCAACTCGACCGGCCAAGCTTCAACTCGATCGAGCTGGGAAGTCAAAGTCAAACCCGAAAAATGTTGCTTCCCCCTTGACTTCCTTTGACCCTAAACCTAATCCTCTTTGTATTTAAAGGCTCTAAGCCACGAAAAAACCACCAAGCTTTAGATTATTTTGTTTTAGTTTCTTTTAATTTTATTGTCTTTTACTTTTTAGCAACTCTAATCCATCTTTGTGTTCTTGAAGCTCTTGCTTCTTGAATCTTAGATCCTGGATTATTTGCTTTATATTTGCACTTGCTTATTTCAATAATAGCGCTTATCTTGCTAAAGCTGATCAGAGAATTGGAATCCGTATTGAGGTCTCTGACACTGGAAATGACCAGTTTCAGCATTTGGTAGAGCAGATTCTAGCTTGTGGAGTTAGACACGAGCTGCTTCCTGAAGTAGACAAACAGAGACATCATCTCCCTTCAAGCAAAGTTTTAAACAGAAAAACAAAGGCAGTGTTCGTCTCATCTTCTTCTTCTTCTTCTTCAGGGTATTTTGAGAGCATCAGGGACGTATATTGGGAAAACCCGGCAGTGAGGGGAGAGATAATCAGTGTTTACATTTATGTTTAGTGAGTAGTTACCCATTAGGGTTTGAGATGGGATAGATTAGAGGGTTCATATGCTTAATATTTCTAGCTTATGGTCTTAATCTAGATTCTCTCTCTTTTGGTTAGATCTTAAGGCTACATGACCACTACCCCTGGCTTGTAAGTCCTTAGGCGATTCCCCACACGAAAGTGATGGCATTCCCTGGAAAAGATCCACTAAGAGCTCCAATATCTCTTGCTCTAGACATAGAGGTCTAAGGGGTTGGATGGATTAGTTTGGGCAATGATCCTATAGCCTCCAAGGTTTGATTCTCACTGGCTAACCCCCTGTTTCTGAGATCATTCCTTGGTTGATAGCCTCCACCTTGGGAAAGGGTTGGCTAGGCATTGAGAAGCCCAATATCAAGAGAAGCCTTGATACAAGGAGTTTTAAGAGCTAGATTGATTAAGTGTAGATTCCTTTGATCGCAAAACCCTGTCTTGAACCCTAATTCTCTCTTTATCTTGTTAAAGTCGTCACCTTTACTGCTTTTCTCGCTAACTCGACCCTCAAGATCGAGCTTGGTACTCTGTTCCTACTTGACTCGAGTCACTGGTCGAGCTACTTGTTTACTTGCTTTGTTTACCTTTATTGCACTGCATCTCCATTTCTTAGGTTGTTAGTGTTACCCCAAATCTATTATTGCTTGCTTGACTTCCTGGTCATTTCATATTCTCAAAGAGTGACAAGTTTCCCATTTTGGATTGATAACCTCTTATACTACATTGACTATGATGGTTAAGAGGAATTGATTGATTGTGATTGCACCATACCATATCATCTTTATTCACCCCTGTTTGCATTCCATTTCATATTCATATCACTTCACCCACACACAAATCCTATCATCACCTATTCCTATCCCTGATTCTGCAAGTGCACAGGTCAGGTGTAGTAACGGGTTGTCGAACACAAGGAGCAGATAAGTGCACTACAAGCTATGCAAGTCTAACTTAGCTAGGACAAAAGGATGAATTGGGGTTTTGGTATGCAAAAGAACTAAACTAAAAGAAAGCAATATGAAAGCGGTGTAAGTTCAATGTGGTAAAGACGCTAGGCAATAGGTAATTCGCAGAGATTCATATATGATAAGATTGATGATTGATTTATATCTATTTAGGGATATGGGATGTAAGATCCGTCTAGAACACCAATCACGAATGTAAAACCATTCCACTGTCGAGGCTCCGGTTCCTTTGTTAATCTACCTAGTCGCTAAACTTTTGGTATGTCCCTAGGTGATTAAATCAAGCATTAGATCGAGCAAGTTCGGATACAGTTCACTAGGTTAAGTAAATCAACTGTCGCAGTCTAAGAAACCTAGCTTGTCAAAGAATATGTCCGGCGAATGATACAACACTTTCGAGGCTCAAATCAACCTAAGATCGAATCACTAGATGTACGGTAAAGTGATTAGCATTAATTAAGTGTGCAAAACGAGACAAAGACTCTAATGATATCCCTAGTTAATTCATCAAATCATAATCAACACATGAACTCTTTGAAACCCTAAAACCTAACTAGAAATCTACTCAAACATGGTGCAAGTAAACAAGCATAGATCTGAGATAGAAATCATATTAATATAAAGAGAAAAGGGTTCAGAAAGCTTCTCTATGTCGAGATACAAAGAAGGGATCTTCTCCCTAAGGAAAACAATGAGAAAGAAGTAAAACAATGGAAGATCCCTCAAAGGGGAGCTCCCTAGTGCGCCTCTCTCTTGTAGCTCTTCTCTTGTGACTCTCTATGCGGCTCTCTCTTCTAAAGAGGCTAAAAAAGAGTATTTATAGTGCCCTAGGTCTTCACAAGTCGGTTTAGGTTAATTGGGCTGAGAATTGTCAAAACTGCATAAGTGGGCTTCTTGTTCGCGGAGATCGGGTCGAGCGCGGTCCTTTGCTTCCCGGGTCGCACGGTCTGGTCGGCCGTGATGTGATGATCTCGGTCGATCGTGGTCCATTGCCTCCCGGGTCGGATCCGTCCTGGAGAAGGCCGAGCGAAGCCAATTCCCTTCCTGTCCGGCAGAGTGCGTTCGACCGGCTGTTAACCAGTCTTCAGTACAAACGTGATATCTCCTAAATGGCTTATCCAAATTGCATACTTCCAACGGTATTGGAACAATAACTCCTCTGGATATCTTGGTATCAAGTTTCATTGAAATCCATTGAGTTTAAGGGTCCAAGCCGCGGCTGCCCGTTTGATGTACTGATGCAGTCCGATTAAGCTCCCTCGTATATGTCTCAGGGAAATAGAGATATCTCCCAATCTACTCGGTCAAATTGATTGATTCCAGTTGCGTTGCAAAGCTAACTCACGTATGCATCACTTCGAACTGGATTTGATGAAGTCCATTCAGTAGATTGTTTTTAAGGCCCTTCTTAAGTTGATGCTACGTCTTGGAGTGGTCTTGAAGTCCAAATCCTGTGTTTTGCTCCAAAATGCATCTTTTACCTGTTTAGACTCTAAGTACTATAAATCCATAAAAAATACCTTTTTAGATCAGAAAGCCATTAAAAACCTTATAAAAAGCATAGTAAAACCATATAAAAAGCATGTAAAATAGAGGTATATCACTTTCTCCTTGAATCCTTCTAGATTCTCATCAATAAGCTCCTCTGGGAATAGAAGCTTCATGTTGCGGCCAGACCTAGGCTTTCTAACCTTCTTTCTTGGCTTGGCCTCATCTTCAATCTTGGTTGATCCCTTGGGCGGTTTTGGTGTAGGGGCCTTAGTCTTACTCCTTGCTTGTTTGGCAAGCTGCTTGGGCTTAGGAATGGGATCTTCCTTGATTGTTTCTTCAGTTTCTCCTTCTTGGGGTGGCTTCAAAGTAACTTTCTCCTCTTGGACCATGTCAACAAAAGAGTTCTTTGTTGAACACATAGGGAAGAACATACCCTTGTTCACCTTGTTGAAAGAGATTCTTTGATTGGGGAAATCAAATATGGCACCCACAGTAGACAGGAAAGGGGTTCCAAATATGAGAGGTCTATGGCTACTCTCTCTCATTTCCACAATCTGGAAATCAGTAGGGATAGAGCAATTTCCAATCTGCACCATCACATTAGGCACAAAGCCATAGGGGGTTTGTGAGAATGAATCAGCATAGTTGATGGAGATGGATGATGGCTCTATCTTGGTGAGGCCTATCTTGTCAGCTATCCTCTTAGACATGATGTTCACATTGGCTCCTGTGTCACACAAAGATTGCTCAAGAATGTTACCTTTGATGATACAAGGCACACAAACTTTCCTGAGTTATCTGTCTTGGGGATAATCTTTGGGAAGAGTCTTCTCTTTCTAGCTCGATTGGACTCTCTCTCTGGGTAATTCTCTTCAGGCCAAATCATGCAATCAACAGTAGGTTTTGAAAGCATCCATTCTGGAACTTGGTCTTCAAATCTTTCTTCTATGGCGGCTGAGTTGCAAAAGGACTTCTTGGATTCAGCTTCCTGTCTCTTAACAGCTTCCATAGTTTGAGTGACTTGAGTCTCTAGTTTCTTCACATGAGTGGCAACAGCATCATACTTGGTGTTGAGATTGCTGAACAAAGTGTCCATCTTCTCATACATCTCTTTATTGTTTCTCTTCTGGCCATCCATGATCTGTTGGAGGATTCCTTCAAATCTCCCACCTTGTTGGTTTGGAGGAGCTTGATTTGGTGAAGAAGCATATGGCTCCTTGGGCGGATATGATGATCTCTGCTCATATCCTTGCCTTGGCTGAAATTGACTTCCTTGAGATTGGTAAGGAGGTCTTTGTTGTTGTGGATACCTTGGAGGATACACTTGGTCTTGAGGATTCTCCACATTGGGGTTTCTATAAGACATGTTGTGTGATACCCCGTATCAAGACCTAAAACATCCCAAAGGCCGGGATGGGAAGATCAACACTCTGGGATTGGAAGACAAAGACGTGGGATCTAAACCAGAGATCACAACGAAGACTTGGATCAAGACAGGATCAAGAACGATCGAGCAGAACTGAAGATACAACAACTATGTGGAAGCTCAGAAACATGGAAATGAGAGAAGGATCACAATAGGAGATTTTAATTCTCAAGCACGACGGGGACGAAACTCTCCAGACAGGGAAACGTACGAAACCCTCTGGACGAGGAAACGTACATTTGGAGCAATCTTGTTCTAAGCCAACCAAGTGGTGACACCAGCTACTTGGAGAAGATAAGGATGATCATAACCAATATGGAGAAGACATGCAGCTACTCAGATGGAGCCAAAACCATTCAGCCAATCATGTAGCAACATCCAGCTACCGAATGAAGACGAAGCAAGCCTAAACCAATTGGGCAACGACACCAGCTGCTAAAGAGGAGAGAGGGCGTGGATAAGCTCCAAGAAGACCTAATGCTATCAGGGAGAGACACCCAGCTGCTCATGAGAGACAAGAATCGTCCAAACCAATCAGACGGAGACATTAAGGTGATAAATGGAGACGAAATTGACTTGGACGAATCAGGATGCAACACCAACCACTGAGAGAGAGGAGAAGCTTCAGGAAGTGGATGAGAAGCAAGTGGAGAGATGCAGAAACGGATTGGATCAAGAGCTGACCAATCAGAAGAAGCACACAGCATCTTAATGGATAAGATGAGTTATATCCAATCGCACGACACACCACATGCTTGGGGGAAGTCGGCTCATTGGATGAGCATTGAGAGGGGATAGGAATGACGTGTGTCATGTCCTGAGACGCCCTAGAGTCCACCAATCAAAGCTACCTAGCCTAGACCGCCTGGATGTCGCGTTCTGAGGCAGTGTAGGTTGCCACCAAGCAAAGCTATGCTAGGCCTAGGTCTCCATGTGTCTGCGAATGACTGGAGACGTCCCAAGAAGCCAGGCAGCCTCCTGAACTCCTATAAATACGCTCCTCCAGCCCCAAGTCCAAACCATTCCATTCCCAAAGCTAGAGAGCACCTGAAAAGTGATTAGAGAGTAATTAAGAAAGTTTTCTTAATTAAGTGAGGTTAGTGGAAGATTAGAGTAGGTCAAGATCAAAGCTTAAGGAAAGCTAGGAGGATCTTGAAGTCTTCTTAAAGTGGTGAGTCTTGGTGTTATAGTTTTAGTTTTTGGATCTTTGTTTGTGTATGCAGGTTGTATGAACACCAAAGCATAGGAGATGCTTTCTGTTCATATTGGTTATTGGTTCTGTAGTATAACTCTCTAAACAATAAGGTTTAGTAAAAATTGTGGAGAGTTATGCTGCAGAAATTTATGTAATATGTTGTGAGGTTGTGATGGATAATCTTCTAGAAGAAAGTTATGCCGTCAGATCTCTTGTGTGTTTATATGCAGGTTTGCATTGTTGTGAGGTTGTGACGGGTAATCTTCTAGGGAGAGAAGTTATGCCGTCAGATCTCTTGTGTTGTGAGGTTGTGTCGGGTAACCTTCGGGGAAGGTTAGGCCGCCAGATCTCTTTTGTGTGTGAGGTTGTGTTGGGTAACCTTCGGGAAGGATATGCCAACAGATCTCTTTTCTGTGTAAGATTGTGATGGGTAACCTTCGGGGAAGGTTATGCCATCAGATCTTGTTAGTGTAGATGCATATCTATACATTAGGTGATGTGAGATTGTGGATGGCTATGCCGCCAAATCTCATAGATGCATCGGTTGTGGGGTTATAGCATGGCTATAAACCTCGAGTGCATACTAACATGGTGGTGCGTAAGGCCCATATGTTGAGTATGACTCTGATGTGGAAAGATCACGGACGGCTGAGCCGCCAGATCTTTCAAGGTTCGTGTGGGTACTCTTCCGAGGCAAGGGAAGCTCTGCCGCAGAACCGGTGGTATGAGGCATAGTGGTGCGTAAAGGCCCATATGCTAAGTACTGAGAACATGTGGCGTGTCTAACCACATGTTGTCTAGGAAGGTGTAGTCAAGCGCATTCTCGCACGTCAGAGCCCAACCGGATTGGCAGCGTGGAGGCTGTGCATGAAGGGAGGAAGACTCGGAGGATAACCTGGTCAGCTGCCTTGGCCGAGTATGGTACCATATGACGATATGGGATCCAACCAGACATTGGCATGGTGCGCCAGTAAGGCCAATAGATGGAAGGATGAACCGGGTACCGCGATGGACTGTAGTGCCCGGGTGAAGGCGTTCATCTAGTTTCTGTGTGATTCCGGATGAGCGTGAACCTTCACAGGCGTGGGCAGAGAATGTGGCTAATGCACCTAGGCGCCTTATTGCATATAGAAAACAAGTATTAGATACTTGTCTAGGTTTGCATGGGCATTGCATATAGATTGCTTGTTTGATGTTGTTATAGTCTTGGATTGATCGTACCTGTTCTTGTTTGATTGGGGTACGGTTAGTCTTAAGGCTATAGCATCAATTATTGTGTGTGATTGCATATGTTATGCAGGTTGTGTACTAACCTCAATGCAGGTGAAGGCGGGGCTCTTATCCCGCANATATTCGGGTCATATGTGGAAATTCTCCCTTAATATTTTCAAAATAAAATAACAAAGAAAAAAATGTCGCTTTTGTTTTCTCACTCTTTTCTTTTCACGCTACTGCATTATCTCATTTCTCTTCATCAGCAATGAAATCTGTTTTTCTTCTGTATTTTTTTTTTCCGTTTCGATTTTGCATTATGTTTGCTCTTCAAAATTCTCGATATATTTTCAGTTTTTTTTTTTTTTCAGATTCACCACGCCATTTAATTATTCTCGGGTGTCTCAGCTCAATTCTTCGAAACAACCCAACAAAAATGGAAAATCTGAAATTTGATGTCTCGAATTTGGGATTTGTTGGATATTTAAGTGAATAACGTGTTACAACATGGACCAACACTACAAGAAATAAGGTAGATAGCATCACTTATTTAGTGTCAAAAATTGAAGTGATTCTAATTAGCATCATTTATTAAAGATTGAAATTAAATTTATGATTTTGCATCACTTAAAATAATTGATATCAATATTAACTTAATTAACATCAATTAAATTAAAAATGATACAAGTGAATATTGATTTACATCATTTTTAGAAAACTGTTACATCATTTACATACTGAATCATTTTCTCAGTATTACTAGCATTAATAATAAATGATGTTAATATTTACTTCAGTTATAAAAAGTGATGCAAACAAAATTTTGAGTAAACAACTATTTGTCCCACATCGCTAAACAAAGATGAAGAATAGTAGTTTGCTCATCTATATAATAACTTCACCCATATAATTTTTATTTTTATATAAGTTAAATCATAAATATATATTTACATATATTATTTATAATAATAATTACAAAAATATTAATAATGACGAATTTAGTATTTTATTGAAAATAATACGAAATTACATAATTTTTAGTGTTTCTTATTTTTAATTGATATAGTAATATTATCAACTAAAATATATGATATAACTAAATATATTACCATCATTTATAATTATTATTAAATGTATATGAGTATCAACTAATATTATCAATTGTTATAACCAACATATATTACCATCATTTATATTAAATGATTCAATTGTTTATTTCATTTATATTAAGTGATACAAATGTTTACCTCATTTACTATAAATGATACTATACATTAACATCATTTGCAAAAATGATGAAACTAGTTGCATCATTTGTTTTTAGCATCACAAAGTATTGGAGACACCACTTTCAGAATCATTTATATAAATGATACAAATTCATTTATATCAATCAATAAATGATATAAACACTTATCACAGAGAACACAAATTACAGAGAGGAAGGTTTTGATCCCTTGTCTATCAAAAGGGATCACAAGGAGAAAAGATCAAAGGGAGGAGAAGATCAATTGAAGTATTGATCTCATATCAAGTCAGAAGAAAGCATGGATCAAGGTTAGTGTTTCTTTCTTCTTCTCTAAGAAACTGTTTAGGGTTGGATTATAATCAAATCTAGATTATCTTGGGATAGATTTCATATGTGATAGAAATCATTCAAGTAGTTTATAATTGGTATCAGAGCCTATTAAATGTGTAAATTGTATTTCTCATTTATTGGAATCAAGTGTACAATGTTACTTATATACAACAAGATTTAACTAAGATTAGTAGCTAAAGGAAACTAACTAATCCAATAAACAAGTAACCGGATATAACCGGACTATACATCCAATATACCCCCCTCAAGCCGATGTCTCAGAACCACGTTGAGATGAGAATAGGCTTGACATAGACATACAATTAAGGAGGGAAAAGAATGGACCAGGCTGAAGTGGCTTCGTAAGTATATCAGCGTGTTGGTTCTCACTCGCGACAGACATCAATTTCAAGAAGCCATTCTTCACTTGATCACGCACAGTGTGACAGTCAATCTCCACATGCTTCGTCCGTTCATGGAACACGGGATTCGTGGCAATGTATATGGCAGATTTATTGTCACAGAAAAGCTTGGCAGAAAAGCAAACCTCAATCTTCAAGAAAGTGAGCAGCTGTTGTAGCCAAAGAAGCTCACATGTAGTCTGAGCCATACTCCGATACTCCGACTCTGTGCTACTATGTGTGATACCCCGTATCAAGACCTAAAACATCCCAAAGGCCGGGATGGGAAGATCAACACTCTGGGATTGGAAGACAAAGACGTGGGATCTAAACCAGAGATCACAACGAAGACTTGGATCAAGACAGGATCAAGAACGATCGAGCAGAACTGAAGATACAACAAGATTGTCCAGGTGGGACGATCATTGTACGAACATGGGAAGAGCCGACCGGACGGCTAAATATCAAAGTTCTCCAAATCAAGAAGAGAAGAGTCTGGAAGACATAAGAGATCATTCTAAGAAGTTTGGTCGAAGCAGAATGCAAATCGGACGAGCAGATTGAGAGATGGGATGGACGCCCAAGATCTATCGCGCAACGACTGCAAGAAACGAAAATGTTCAGGATGGAGATATTCCGCACATTTCCAAGCAACTATGTGGAAGCTCAGAAACATGGAAATGAGAGAAGGATCACAATAGGAGATTTTAATTCTCAAGCACGACGGGGACGAAACCCTCCAGACAGGGAAACGTACGAAACCCTCTGGACGAGGAAACGTACATTTGGAGCAATCTTGTTCTAAGCCAACCAAGTGGTGACACCAGCTACTTGGAGAAGATAAGGATGATCATAACCAATATGGAGAAGACATGCAGCTACTCAGATGGAGCCAAAACCATTCAGCCAATCATGTAGCAACATCCAGCTACCGAATGAAGACGAAGCAAGCCTAAGCCAATTGGGCAACGACACCAGCTGCTAAAGAGGAGAGAGGGCGTGGATAAGCTCCAAGAAGATCTAATGCTATCAGGGAGAGACACCCAGCTGCTCATGAGAGACAAGAATCGTCCTAACCAATCAGACGAAGACATTGAGGTGATAAATGGAGACGAAATAGACTTGGACGAATCAGGATGCAACACCAACTACTGAGAGAGAGTATAAGCTTCAGGAGTGGATGAGAAGCAAGTGGAGAGATGCAGAAACGGATTGGATCAAGAGCTGACCAATCAGACAGAAGCACCCATCATCTTAATGGATAAGATGGGTTATATCCAATGGCACGACTACACCACATGCTTAGGGGAAGTCGGCCTATTGGATGAGCATTGAGAGGGGATAGGAATGACGTGTGTCATGTCCTGAGACGCCCTAGAGGCCACCAATCAAAGCTACCTAGCCTAGACCGCCTGGATGTCGCGTTCTGGGGCAGTGTAGGTCGCCACCAAGCAAAGCTATGCTAGACCTAGGTCTCCATGTGTCTGCGCATGACTGGAGACGTCCCAAGAAGCCAGGCAGCCTCCTGAACTCCTATAAATACGCTCCTCCAGCCCCAAGTCCAAACCATTCCATTCCCAAAGCTAGAGAGCACCTGAAAAGTGATTAGAGAGTAATTAAGAAAGTTTTCTTAATTAAGTGAGGTTAGTGGAAGATTAGAGTAGGTCAAGATCAAAGCTTAAGGAAAGCTAGGAGGATCTTGAAGTCTTCTTAAAGTGGTGAGTCTTGGTGTTATAGTTTTGTTGTTTTGGATCTATACATGTGTATGCAGGTTGTATGAACACCAAAGCATAGGAGATGCTTTCTGTTCATATTGGTTATTGGTTCTGTAGTATAACTCTCTAAACAATAAGGTTTAGTAAAATTGTGGAGAGTTATGCTGCAGAAATTTATATAATGTGTTATGAGGTTGTGATGGGTAATCTTCTAGGAGAGAAGTTATGCCGTCAAATCTCTTGTGTGTTTATATGCAGGTTTGCATTGTTGTGAGGTTGTGATGGGTAATCTTCTAGGGAGAGAAGTTATGCCATCAGATCTCTTGTGTTGTGAGGTTGTGTCGGGTAACCTTCGGGGAAGGTTAGGCCGCCAGATCTCTTTTGTGTGTGAGGTTGTGTTGGGTAACCTTCGGGGAAGGATATGCCAACAGATCTCTTTTCTGTGTAAGATTGTGATGGGTAACCTTCGGGGAAGGTTATGCCATCAGATCTTGTTAGTGTAGATGCATATCTATACATTAGGTGATGTGAGATTGTGGATGGCTATGCCGCCAAATCTCATAGATGCATCGGTTGTGGGGTTATAGCATGGCTATGCCGCTAAACCTCGAGTGCATGCTAACATGGTGGTGCGTAAGGCCCATATGTTGAGTATGACTCCGATGTGGAAAGATCACGGACGGCTGAGCCGCCAGATCTTTCGAGGTTCGTGTGGGTACTCTTCCGAGGCAAGGGAAGCTCTGCCGCAGAACCGGTGGTATGAGGCATAGTGGTGCGTAAAGGCCCATATGCTAAGTACTGAGAACATGTGGCGTGTCTAACCACATGTTGTCTAGGAAGGTGTAGTCAAGCGCATTCTCGCACGTCAGAGCCCAACCGGATTGGCAGCGTGGAGGCTGTGCATGAAGGGAGGAAGACTCGGAGGATAACCTGGTCAGCTGCCTTGGCCGAGTATGGTACCATATGACGATATGGGATCCAACCAGACATTGGCATGGTGCGCCAGTAAGGCCAATAGATGGAAGGATGAACCGGGTACCGCGATGGACTGTAGTGCCCGGGTGAAGGCGTTCATCTAGTTTCTGTGTGATTCCGGATGAGCGTGAACCTTCACAGGCGTGGGCTGAGAATGTGGCTAATGCACCTAGGCGCCTTATTGCATATAGAAAACAAGTATTAGATACTTGTCTAGGTTTGCATGGGCATTGCATATAGATTGTTTGATTGTTGTTATAGTCTTGGGTTGATCGTACCTGTTCTTGTTTGATTGGGGTACGGTTAGTCTTAAGACTATGGCATCAATAATGCATGTGATTGCATATGTTGTGTTGTGCTAACCTCAATGCAGGTGGAGGCGGGATTACAAGCCCGCGGCGTTTGTGTTTGGAGTTTAGGGAATCCCCCTTGTATAGAGGTCCTAGACTCACTGAGTAATATTAGATTACTCATTCCTTTTGTTTAATGTTTTCAGGTGACCGTAGAGGTGTGAAGTAGAGCGGACCGCTGCAGGCAGTAGGCGCCAGAATAGTTTTGTGGTATGTTTTTGTAAAATTATGGTTTGTTGTTTGGTTTGGAACTAAGGATCGATCCGCATGTTTTTAAGTCGGATTTTGTAAGCACTCTGATATTTTAATAAAGGAAAGTTTTATGTAAAGACCTTATGTTCCAATGATATTAGCTTGGTCCGGGCTAACACAACTCCTGACCGAAGTACGGGTTGGCAAGCCTTAGGCTTTGGTCAAGAGGGTCGAGTTCGCGGGACGGGCTGACCTGGGCTCTGATTTGTTCTTAGTCTGGGATGGCCTATTCGGCGAACATCGACATTTTGTGGCGCTTCTCGGAACGTCTGTGCCTAGGACGGTTCGGGGGTGTTACACTACGGCTCACGACATCTTGCTTCTTAGATTTCCATGTAATCAACGACTTGCCAAGATAGACACAATATCCGGTGATTGACCGGCGAGATTCTGTGTCAGTGCCCCAGTCAGCATCAGAGAAGGCGTTGAGGCAGATCGTAGAAGAAGCTGAGTAGAATAAACCCTGACCCGGATTGTTCTTGAGATAGCGCAAGATCTTGTGTGAAGCTTCGAGGTGTACATCCGTAGGACAGTGCATGAAATTGACTCAAGCAGTGCACAGCAAAAGTAATATCAGGCCGTGTGATAGTCAGATAGAGAAGACGACCAACAAGCGTCCGATAAGGAGTCGGATCCAGGAGAGCAGTGCCCGATGCCTTAGTCAACTTGACAGTGGGATCCATCGGAACAGAGCTCGGTTTGCAGCCCAACAAACCAGCATCAGATAGCAAATTCAACGTATACTTCCTCTGACAAACAGAGATCCCAAGCGAAGAACGGGCAATCTCAAGTCCAAGAAAGAAACGGAGCTCACCGAGATCCTTGATCTTGAACTCCGAGCTCAAAGAAGCCTTAAGACACATAACCTCCGCATCACAGTTGCTTGCAATCATGATATCGTCGACGTAAACCAAGACGGCAGTGAACTTGTCACCAGCCTGCTTAGCGAACAAAGTATTGTCAGACGCAGATTGGACAAAGCCAGATCGGAGAAGCACATCAGAGAGACATGATGGCGGGTTTAGATTGCCTCAAATTTTCACAATTTATAAACCCAACTAATGAGCTGCAAGTGCACAGCCGTGTTGTAGTCGGGGTCGAACACGAGGAGGAAGTGTTCTCACTTAACACCTTGTGAGATTGGTTTGTAGCTAGCTCGCAATATGAGATGGTTTTGGACCTAGAATGAGAAAACAAAACAAAAGAGATGTGAGTGAGTTGTAAACAATTTAAAACAAGAGTTAGGCAAAGGACAATCATATGGAGCAATGATGAAAAGATAGTTGCATGGGATGTGTGTAGAGCCGTCTTGAACATGAATCACTAGTGTATGGTCTTTCCACTGTCGTGGCTCCAACCACTATGTTTAAAACAACCTAATATACTCAGCTTTCGTTGGCTATTAGAATTGCAAACATGCATTACAAGGTTCAAGATTCAATTGTTCACAATAAACCATAACTCAGCTTTCGTTGGCTATGATCTATTGCTCACCAAATACTAGTTTTGAGATCTAGATTCAGCACTGTCGTGGTTCTATTTCTCTAAGATCAGATTACTAGATGTACGGTAGAGTAATCATGCATTAAGCTCAAGTAAAGGTGAAGATCCATAAGATAAATCCCAATAAGTTGCAACACAATCAAATCATCACGGCCACCATAGATCTCCTCGGCCTAACTAAGAGATCTACTCGGCCATGATGCAAACAAGCAAGCAAAGCATGATTGTAAACATTATGCAAGTATTAAAAGAGATAAAGGGATGAAGAAAGCTTCTCTATTGATGAACAAAGTCGGATTCTCCCTTGAAAACTCTTAAGATCAAGTTTATAGAAATGGAAACAATGAAAAAGAAAGAACAAGAGTTGAGCGGCGCCTCCTTCTTCTTGGACGATCTCCTAGGGCTTCTCTTCTCTGCTCTCTTCTCACACGTACACTCTTTGATAATTTTCGGACTCGACTCTTCTTCTTCAGCGGCTAAAAACATGTATATATGGGCGAAGTCGCGTAGGGTTTTCTTCATGCCGGAAAAGGAAAGTTTCCCGCGAGCAAAGCCTTCTTCTCCACGTCGTGTATGGGCCGACATTGTACCAAGGAAAGCTCCAAACATTAGCCAGGCCTCTTCTCTATTCGATCAAGGCCTTTGGCGCTGCTGCTCGGGCCATTAGACACTCCAAATCCTCCATGGGCTTCGTTTGCTCGCTTACCGGACATGTCTCGGTAGAAAATAAGTCTAGGCCTCATAGTTGATCCAAATGGCTTCATTCCACTTCGACGTGATGCATGACTCAAGTATCTATCTTTCCATATCAAGATCGTAACTTTTGGACGTCGGGAACTCCTCCGCGCGCGGCCAAACTTCCGAAGCTTCGTTCTGCGCGCAAGCGAGAACTAACACTTGGAGATAAAATGATCTTCTTGACTTGGAAACTTGCATGGATCTTGATTTAGGGCTCTTTTACTCCTTTTTGCATCCTTTTTGATTATTTCACCTACAAAGACTTCAAATCCCACAAATACAAGAAAACTACCTCTAAAGGCAAAGAATCTTGCAAAAACCGTTTGAAAACATAAGTAATTATATAGTAAAATCATGTAAAATATGGTGATATCAACTCCCCCAGACTTAGCCTTTTGCTTGTCCCCAAGCAAACTAAGCAGGAAAAGAGGTTTGAAAACGTGAGAACTCTCAAATCTTTTGGAAATCCAGATTGACTTATGCCTTAGTAATCCACATGAAACAACATTGGCAAATTTTGAATTAAGAACAAAGTACATACCATGAGTTTTGCGATTGTCCCAAAGCAGCTCACCTCTCCTTAGACAATCCAATTTGCCACCCTTGAATCCTTTCATTTTCTAAAGGTGTGGTCTCAACTAGGGAATATCGATCAACCGACTTTTAGACTCTTTCTCATCCCCTTGTTTGGCACTTGCACTACAAGAATTATGGGCAGTAATAGCACATTATTATAGCTCATTTTTAGTAAATGCTATTATAGATAGTTTGATAATTTTGGGCTGTATATGATAGCATTTTAAAAATGCTAAACATGAAAATAAGTAACGGGGAAGCTAAATTTAACTTTGCTCTTCTAAAATCACAAAAAACCCGCCACACTTAACCAAAAAAAATCAATTTCGTCCCAAGGGTTATTAAAACTACAAAATATTTCTTTTTGTTTTGTCTTATTTCAGAACGAATAATAAAAAATAAAAAAATAGTCTCTTCAAACTTTTCTTCGACCTTTCTTTCTCTCTGGCTCGATTCCTCCTTTCCCCTCTAACTGTACAAATCCCTAAACCCTAGATCTATATCTCCGACGAGATTCCGGCTGAGTTACAGTTTTTAGTCAACCTCGTTGTTCTTAGTCTCTCATCTAACCGTCTCTCCGGACAAATCTAACCACATCTCGCTCTCTGCGTTATCAAACTCCACGGCAATCAACTTTCCGGCCAATTCCTGCTACAACTCGGGCTTCTCGTGAGATTAACGGCGTTTTATGTCTCAAACCAGAAATTATCCTGTCAGATTCCGGCGAATCTGACGACTTGAAACAGAAATTTCGTTGAAGTCGGTCTGTCTGGCTTCTTCTCTTATTCAAGGTCAGTATTGCTTTCATTTTGTGGTTTATTTGTTGTTTTTCGAATTTTTAGGGTTAGGATTCTGATTTGATAGATTTTGGATTTAAGACAAGGTTGGGATCTATAGTTGAAAAGAAATTGAGATCGTATTTCGATCTGTTACGGAGGCTTCTCTCTTCCGCCGTATCGGGCTTAGTTATTCTTGAAACCTCTCGACATTGGCTTTGAATATAGAAAAAGTAATGTGATGCAAGCTGAAATGTTTGTGCAGCGAGAAGGATATAGATGAAACTGCTTCAGTCACATACTGTATATTAAAATGTTTCGGAAGGAGTTCTTGCTAAATCAAAAGACTTGATGGTGGCTTTGGAGCAGATAATCTTACGAAAATATGCTTGGAGGTTTGTTATAGCTTTGTTTTCGTTTTTTATCTGCATCAAATTTGTTTCACTTTTTAGATTTTTGTTTGACTTCTAAACTCTTGTCTTATATGTTGATGTTGATTATGGATAAAGGTGAGCTTCAAGTCCCACCAGCGAAAGCTTGTTGCTGATTGTTTCTTTCGGTGATACTTGAATCTCTGAGGAAGCTAAAGTTGATGTCTTTGAATGTGGATATTCTCAAGGTTGGTTTTGTGATGGATAGTTGTTGATCCTAAGGTTTTGAGATTGTTCTCGCAGAGTACTGAAATCGGAAAGGCTGTGAATGGCATGAGGAATATGGCATTAGGTTGGTATATGGGTTAATTGCAGAGTCTTTGGCTCTAATATCAGTGGGTCAACACCACAAAGGAACTCACTGGTAATTGCTCTCTCTCTCTCCGATTCTTATGGGATTAGATCAATAGTCTTTGGTTCTTTGATGCAAGTGAGTTAAGACTGTTCTCTCTTATTTCTTTGATATTTTAACCGTGTTTTAGCTATATATGTTTGGTTGATTAAGATTCCCTGGTGTTGTTTGTTTCAGATCCTCGTAACACAAGCTGAGAACACGAAAGAAGACCACAAAATATCGCCAAGAGCTACAAGAGGTCTCGAGTATCTTCACAAAGCTGCTGCTCCAAGAAAGCCTTGGAAGAAAAAACGATGAAAGGAAGAAAGTCTTGCTTGCCTAAGATGTTAGTATAAGTCTTGGATGTTTTGTAACATTTGTTTTGATATGATGCAAGACATGTTTTGGGTGATTAATGAAATTAATTTCTCAACCAAATTTCAAATATAATTTTTTGTATGAATCTAATTGATTATATGCAACAATTACGGTTCAAAAGTGCTTTAAGTTATAGCTTAAATAAAGAGTTATAAAACACTAGATCATAGCCTGAACAATGTGCTACAATACACTTGATCATAGCATTTTATCAACGCTATGATAAAAAAACATATAATAGCATAATGTTAAAGTGCTATCGTATGAGGTCAACCTATTATAGCTCCGGCAATCATAGCACTTATAAAAACGCTATCAAACACATATGATAGCGTTTATTATGAGCTAAGAATGTTGCTTTTTCTTGTAGTGTTGTCTTTTTACTCCATGTTTCTCCTCTCTCTCTTCTCACTTCTTTGAGTTGATTCATCCCTTTTTTAGGGTAGCGAAGTATTTTTTTATTCAACTCCTTCTCTTTATTATAGAGGTTTTGCTTGGATCTTCCACAGACGCGAGTATTGATGGTGTTTGCCACCGAATCCCCGGTTGCTTGGATTCATAGGCCTTCCATAGACGCGAGTATTGATGGTGTTTGCCACCGAATCCCCGGTTACTTGGACCTTACGCTTTTTCTTTTAAATTTGAAGGGGAGAGAGAGGGAAGCACGAACTCACTAAGACTTTTTCATTTGATGGAGAGGATGAGGAATCATGCCATTTGTATGCCAAGCCCCTAGCTGAGAAGATTAAGTTCATTAAGGGCGGAGTCAAAGATGGATCCTTCTCAAGTCTTTAGAGATGTAGGCGTTTTTGGTAGATCGATCAACTCATAGTGCACCTGTGGTAAGATGTATTGCCAAGAACTGCTCAATGGTCACTTAAACATTAGTACAACCATGGTTAGATCCAAGATAAGGTCATGATTCTCGACAAAAATTTTGACTCAATAAAAACGACTCGATAAAAGGGAAAAAATGCAAATGAAAATGCCAAAATGAACAAACATAGTTAGTAATCCCCCCAGACTTAACTTGCACCGTCCCGGTGAAATCAAATCGGATTAAGAGAGGCATAACATGAAGTTCAAATGAAAAATTGAAAAGAAAAAGGTTTAGGATGATGTTACCAATTGTCGACCAATTTATAATGAAGATCAGTTCTGGTTTGGGTCATTCTACACTTCTTTAGGCAATATTGGTCGGTGAGTTTTTAATTTCAGGCCTTGGTTTCCGCCGGTTTGTGTTTTGGCCGAGATTGGTATATTCGGTCGGCCAAAATGTGGTGCTGTGAACTACAGAACAAACCGTCAAAAATTTCATGACCTATATTGAAATTTCATCGACCAACCTGGTATTTTATAGCCTCTGGTGAAGTTTGGGAGCATTCGTACGAGCGGATTGAGACTTCCTTCACAAAATGGTCAAGTCGGCTCCGGGAAGGAGTTTCCTTGGCCATTGAAGTTTGGCTCGTTCCTTTTCGTTTCTTCCTGCATAAAAGTGTTAGTTAAGCTCAAAGAAGAGTTTTCCAACCGGTTGGCGCGCCTATGCCGTGATTTGGTTTGTCGGCCATATTGCTTGCGCGCCATCGGCCAGAATGTGGCTCCGTCGTCTATCTCATGATCCGTGATGATTTCTCCGTCCTATCTTTTGGATTTGCCGACCAAATGTGATTTATGGTCGCCTGTGAAGTTTGGTGGACTTTGGTCACGCCGTTTAGGAGTTGGCCGTGAATTGGTCTCCTTGTGCGCGTCATGGCCGAGAGAAATGTGCGGATTGAATTTCTTCAAATCCACTCGGGCCAATTGAGATTTTCTTCGATCGAATTGTTTTAATAACCCTCCTGTGTCATTCCCAAGTGGTGGCCGCCTTGTTTCGTGTGATGGCCTGTGTATCTCCTTTAACCTCCCTTTGGCCGCCATATGCATGTTGGTTTTGAGGTTGGTTATAGGTTTGCTCTATTTCTCCTTCCTGTCAAATGTTAACTCCTTGCAAAACACTTGAAATCATGATTAGATGGTTTCTCAGATTGTGATCCTCAAGTGACCAACTTGAAGTTCACAATCCAAGAGATTAAAGCACAAACTATAAATTCTTATTTGGTCTTGGTCAATGATCCAAATTTCAAACTATAGTTCAATCTCTTGTAATTTCAGTGAGAAAATGAGTTTGACAAGTGATTATGTATTCTTTCCAATCATCAAAAGTAAATCAAGTTAAACCATGAAATATATTTGATAAAGTGCAATGGTTTAAACGATTTTTCAAGTGAAGATCAAGAGTGATTAGAAATGAATACTAGGTGAGAGTTTACTTACCTTTTGGAAGAGAAACGCCTTGTACAAGGGTGGGCTCATTGGGTGGGACACTTTCATTGTTTGGTCTCCTTTGGGTCTTCATCCTAAGAAAATATTTTTGTATTTTTGTTTGATTTTTGAAAAACTCCTGCAAAATAGAAATAGATAGTTAAAAACCATATGGGTTGCCTCCCATAAAGCGCTTTTGTTTTAAGTCATTTAGCTTGACTCCTTTTCTTTCTTTCAATCGTGGTGAAGAGTGGCTGAAGGGCAAAGGATCCCTTTAGCTTCTCCATTCTCCGGTTCAGTGGCTCTTGTGGTGGTGTTGGCACGCCATAGTCATCTCTCACATCATCTTTGAAAACCAATGCCTTGGGGAAAAGCTTCATAGTTCTCTCAAGCTTCTCTTCAATGGATTGGTCACCTTTAAGCTCCGAATCTTTTGGTGTAAAGATTCTTATCTTGTGAAAGAGATTAGGTGCACCATTAGTCTCCTCTTCAGCTCCATATTCATCAAAGGTTGGAAGTGAGATGGAGTTGATTTCCTTAAAGACATTTTCATGCCTCGGCTCCAATGTTTTCTTCTTCTCCTTTGGTTTTGGGTAGCGCTCACTCTCTCTTCTTTCTCCATGCAGCATAGCTTCTTTCTTAGGCATGAGAGTGGCTTCTTCTGGTGGTAGCTTGGTCGCACTTGGCACTGACCTGAAATTTACACTTGGGAAAAAGATATCTTGCCGGATGTGGCCAAAAGATAGATGATTCCCAAAGTAGTTTAGGACCGCTCCAGCTGTAGCAAGGAATGGGGTTCCAAGAATCAGTTGATTCCTCTTTGAGCCTTCCCAAATCATGACTTGAAAGTCAGTTGGGACTAATCGACCCCCTATTTCCATCATGACATCTTCAAGCATTCCATAAGGTTCCATGCACGATAGGTCCGCGAACTCGACTCTTATCTTGGGGCTTTTGAATTCCTTGAATCCCAAGTCTTTTGCAAGTGCAAGAGACATTAGATTAACATTAGCACCAGTATCACATAGGCAATCATGGATTGAATGCCATTGATACTTGAAGTTATCACAAACTTCCCCGGATCTTCTTGTTTTTGTAGTGGCTTGCCTTCAAGCTTCTCTTGTAAGCTCTTCTTGATTCCCAACTGTATCTCTCCGGTTTGTGCCTCTCCTTAGGCTCATTTTCTTCTTCTTCCCCTTGAGATAGTTGATATCACCATATCTAATATATTATTTGCAAAGTAAAAATTTCGTTTAGAGGCACCACGTTAACTCTCAGCTGGTTGATTACCCAGCTACCCTTAATGAAAATCCTTTTTTAAAATATTCATAATTTCCTTTTTTTAAATTTTACTAATTATATTTCTAATTATAAATATTTTACGATAATAATCATAAAAAAGGAAACAAATATATCATATCATTAAAATAGAAAACTAAAAAAAATCTAAAATCTAGACCTAAATCTCTCTATATATAAATATAAAACCATATGTGGTATACAAAATCATAGGTCTTTTTTTCTCTTCGCCACCAAGCTCCGTCGAAGCCATAATCTAGCAAACGTAGATGTTTATTTGAAAAGACATGGCGACTGTAATCTAATTGGTCAACAAAGGAATAATGATAGGTCGTTTCTTCCTCCTTAAATTTTATCACTTTTCCCTTGATTTGAGAACACAAACGGCAAACTATGATCTTCTACATCAACGACGCGAAGCTGTGACGGTGGGCGCATACCAAGTCGTAAGAAAACGAAGATATGCATAAAGGTACTATATTATGCCATTCTGGTATATTTAATCTTCATATTATTTGCGAAGTAAAAATTTCGTTTAGAGACACCACGTTAACTCTCAGCTGGTTGATTACCCAGCTACCCTTAATGAAAATCCTTTTTTAAAATATTCATAATTTCCTTTTTTTAAATTTTACTAATTATATTTCTAATTATAAATACTTTACGATAATAATCATAAAAAAGAAAACAAATATATCATATCATTAAAATAGAAAACTAAAAAAAATCTAAAATCTAGACCTAAATCTCTCTATATATAAATATAAAACCATATGTGGTATACAAAATCATAGGTCTTTTTTTCTCTTCGCCACCAAGCTCCGTCGAAGCCATAATCTAGCAAACGTAGATGTTTATTTGAAAAGACATGGCGACTGTAATCTAATTGGTCAACAAAGGAATAATGATAGGTCGTTTCTTCCTCCTTAAATTTTATCACTTTTCCGTTGATTTGAGAACACAAACGGCAAACTATGATCTTCTACATCAACGACGCGACGCTGTGACGGTGGGCGCATACCAAGTCGTAAGAAAACGAAGATATGCATAAAGGTACTATATTATGCCATTCTGGTATATTTAATCTTCATATTATTTGCGAAGTAAAAATTTCGTTTAGAGGCACCACGTTAACTCTCAGCTGGTTGATTACCCAGCTACCCTTAATGAAAATCCTTTTTTAAAATATTCATAATTTCCTTTTTTAAAATTTTTACTAATTATATTTCTAATTATAAATATTTTACGATAATAATCATAAAAAAGGAAACAAATATATCATATCATTAAAATAGAAAACTAAAAAAAACTAAAATCTAGACCTAAATCTCTCTATATATAAATATAAAACTATAGGTGGTATACAAAATCATAGGTCTTTTTTTCTCTTCGCCACCAAGCTCCGTCGAAGCCATAATCTAGCAAACGTAGATGTTTATTTGAAAAGACATGGCGACTGTAATCTAATTGGTCAACAAAGGAATAATGATAGGTCGTTTCTTCCTCCTTAAATTTTATCACTTTTCCCTTGATTTGAGAACACAAACGGCAAACTATGATCTTCTACATCAACGACGCGAAGCTGTGACGGTGGGCGCATACCAAGTCGTAAGAAAACGAAGATATGCATAAAGGTACTATATTATGCCATTCTGGTATATTTAAATCTTCATATTATTTGCGAAGTAAAAATTTCGTTTAGAGGCACCACGTTAACTCTCAGCTGGTTGATTACCCAGCTACCCTTAATGAAAATCCTTTTTTAAAATATTCATAATTTCCTTTTTTAAAAATTTTACTAATTATATTTCTAATTATAAATATTTTACGATAATAATCATAAAAAAGGAAACAAATATATCATATCATTAAAATAGAAAACTAAAAAAAATCTAAAATCTAGACCTAAATCTCTCTATATATAAATATAAAACCATATGTGATATACAAAATCATAGGTATTTTTTTCTCTTCGCCACCAAGCTCCGTCGAAGCCATAATCTAGCAAACGTAGATGTTTATTTGAAAAGACATGGCGACTGTAATCTAATTGGTCAACAAAGGAATAATCATAGGTCGTTTCTTCCTCCTTAAATTTTATCACTTTTCCGTTGATTTGAGAACACAAACGGCAAACTATGATCTTCTACATCAACAACGTGACGCTGTGACGGTGGGCGCATACCAAGTCGTAAGAAAACGAAGATATGCATAAAGGTACTATATTATGCCATTATGGTATATTTAATCTTCATATTTTTTGCGAAGTAAAAATTTAGTTTAGAGGCACCACGTTAACTCTCAGCTGGTTGATTACCCATCTACCCTTAATGAAAATCCTTTTTTAAGATATTCATAATTTCCTTTTTTAAAAATTTTACTAATTATATTTCTAATTATAAATATTTTACGATAATAATCATAAAAAAGGAAACAAATATATCATATCATTAAAATAGAAAACTAAAAAAAATCTAAAATCTAGACCTAAATCTCTCTATATATAAATATAAAACCATAGGTGGTATACAATATCATAGGTCTTTTTTTCTCTTCGCCACCAAGCTCCGTCGAAGCCATAATCTAGCAAACGTAGATGTTTATTTGAAAAGACATGGCGACTGTAATCTAATTGGTCAACAAAGGAATAATGATAGGTCGTTTCTTCCTCCTTAAATTTTATCACTTTTCCCTTGATTTGAGAACACAAACGGCAAACTATGATCTTCTACATCAACGACGCGACGCTGTGACGGTGGGCGCATACCAAGTCGTAAGAAAACGAAGATATGCATAAAGGTACTATATTATGCCATTCTGGTATATTTAAATCTTCATATTATTTGCGAAGTAAAAATTTCGTTTAGAGGCACCACGTTAACTCTCAGCTGGTTGATTACCCAGCTACCCTTAATGAAAATCCTTTTTTAAGATATTCATAATTTCCTTTTTTAAAAATTTTACTAATTATATTTCTAATTATAAATATTTTACGATAATAATCATAAAAAAGGAAACAAATATATCATATCATTAAAATAGAAAACTAAAAAAAATCTAAAATCTAGACCTAAATCTCTCTATATATAAATATAAAACCATATGTGGTATACAAAATCATAGGTATTTTTTTCTCTTCGCCACCAAGCTCCGTCGAAGCCATAATCTAGCAAACGTAGATGTTTATTTGAAAAGACATGGCGACTGTAATCTAATTGGTCAACAAAGGAATAATGATAGGTCGTTTCTTCCTCCTTAAATTTTATCACTTTTCCCTTGATTTGAGAACACAAACGGCAAACTATGATCTTCTACATCAACGACGCGACGCTGTGACGGTGGGCGCATACCAAGTCGTAAGAAAACGAAGATATGCATAAAGGTACTATATTATGCCATTATGGTATATTTAATCTTCATATTTTTTGCGAAGTAAAAATTTCGTTTAGAGGCACAACGTTAACTCTCAGCTGGTTGATTACCCAGCTACCCTTAATGAAAATCCTTTTTTAAGATATTCATAATTTCCTTTTTTAAAAATTTTACTAATTATATTTCTAATTATAAATATTTTACGATAATAATCATAAAAAAGGAAACAAATATATCATATCATTAAAATAGAAAACTAAAAAAAATCTAAAATCTAGACCTAAATCTCTCTATATATAAATATAAAACCATATGTGGTATACAAAATCATAGGTATTTTTTTCTCTTCGCCACCAAGCTCCGTCGAAGCCATAATCTAGCAAACGTAGATGTTTATTTGAAAAGACATGGCGACTGTAATCTAATTGGTCAACAAAGGAATAATGATAGGTCGTTTCTTCCTCCTTAAATTTTATCACTTTTCCCTTGATTTGAGAACACAAACGGCAAACTATGATCTTCTACATCAACGACGCGACGCTGTGACGGTGGGCGCATACCAAGTCGTAAGAAAACGAAGATATGCATAAAGGTACTATATTATGCCATTCTGGTATATTTAAATCTTCATATTATTTGCGAAGTAAAAATTTCGTTTAGAGGCACCACGTTAACTCTCAGCTGGTTGATTACCCAGCTACCCTTAATGAAAATCCTTTTTTAAGATATTCATAATTTCCTTTTTTAAAAATTTTACTAATTATATTTCTAATTATAAATATTTTACGATAATAATCATAAAAAAGGAAACAAATATATCATATCATTAAAATAGAAAACTAAAAAAAATCTAAAATCTAGACCTAAATCTCTCTATATATAAATATAAAACCATATGTGGTATACAAAATCATAGGTATTTTTTTCTCTTCGCCACCAAGCTCCGTCGAAGCCATAATCTAGCAAACGTAGATGTTTATTTGAAAAGACATGGCGACTGTAATCTAATTGGTCAACAAAGGAATAATGATAGGTCGTTTCTTCCTCCTTAAATTTTATCACTTTTCCCTTGATTTGAGAACACAAACGGCAAACTATGATCTTCTACATCAACGACGCGACGCTGTGACGGTGGGCGCATACCAAGTCGTAAGAAAACGAAGATATGCATAAAGGTACTATATTATGCCATTATGGTATATTTAATCTTCATATTTTTTGCGAAGTAAAAATTTCGTTTAGAGGCACAACGTTAACTCTCAGCTGGTTGATTACCCAGCTACCCTTAATGAAAATCCTTTTTTAAGATATTCATAATTTCCTTTTT